AAAACATTTACCTGTGCCATCTATTGTTAAGTATTTAAATAATGGCATTTTTTGCTGGAAGGTTTTTCAATAAAAGATATTTACAAAAATACCTCATATGTTTTTGGGTTATGTTGCCCAAGTGAAAGCAATTTGTTTTTATTTTGTTGGTTATTTTATTTGTTTAATTTATTATTATTATTATTATTTTTATTTTATAAGTTGCCTGATCAAACATGTTAGTGCCCATCAAAACAAAATTCATAGCAGAACATCGTCGATACCATGCTAACAAACAAAGTATATCTAATTTTGACAATTTTTATGAATTCGTTGAGAAAAACCATCATTTAAAGAACATTCCTTTCTCCATATTTTACATTGATCCAAACCAAGGAGATGAATTGCCTATCAACAATAACGACAATCTGGGTCGAGCAATTGAAGTTACATTAGCCACACCAACAAAACCGTGTCTCCGATTGATCCTTCAAAGAAAGGATAAACCTCTGGAGAAGGAGTACTCTTTTAAAAAGAAAAACTATTTCCTTAATGAATTCAATCCTTTAAATTATTCCTCATCTCATAGACGTCCACAAATTGGATTACCTCAAGATTTCAGAGAGGTATCATCCATTATTGATGTCGATATTGTACCTGCAACGTGTCGACGAGTTCGCCTTATCAAACACAGCTCGGATAAACCATTGGGTTTCTATATTCGTGATGGGGACAGCATTCGATTGTTACCTAATTCTATTGAAAGAGTTCCTGGTGTTTTTATTTCACGCCTTGTGCCTGGAGGAATTGCTGAATCAACTGGTCTTCTGTCTATAAACGATGAAATTCTTGAAGTAAATGGAATTGAAGTGACAGGTAAAACACTGGATCAAGTTACAGACATGATGATTGCCAATTCTTCTAATCTTATTATAACTATCCGTCCAGCAGTACAGGGTAATCTTTCGGGGCCTTTAAATTCATCTTTACCTTCCATTTCTGATGATGAAGACAATGAAATTCATGATAATTCATACTTTTCATCTTAATCAAGAATCAAACTATCAATCAATCAATCAATCAAACCTAATCAATGCAAATAATAAAACTAGTTCTTGACATGTTTTTCAGTGTTAAGTGAATAAATTTATAAACATTGCAAATGTATCTACTTTATATCAATTTTAATGAAAACGTATTTTTGTCAGAACAAATCTACCAGACATAACTTCAAATAATGTGTCCATTATTTTAACCAATCAATTAACAGTCTTCGCGATGTTCAATCTTTCAATGGATACTGAAAGTTTTATCAAATTTATTGTGCATTTGTCTTGAAATGGCTGTTCGATTCCATACTGTTATGATTGTATATTGCTTCAATGAAAAAGGCTAATTTTTATCAGATTATGTAATAAAAATACGAGAAAATTGATTTTAATGAAAAAATCCAATCTAATCGAGTATAAATATTTATTGTTATGAATTTTCAGCTCCCAAATTCCCCATATATTTACGCTCTAAAATTAAATTAATCAATCTTTTATCAGAGGAGAAATGTAAATTGTTCACAAAATTGATGAATTTAATGAGTTTTGATAGCGAGATATTATTTTTAATTTAGAAACAGTCCCTCAAAGGCTCATTTTATTGAAACTTCAATGCTATTATAGCATTGCTATATTATTTTGAGTTTTTTTTCTTGGGTGAGTTTCTTGGTGGTTTGGAGCTAATAGTTAATATTCGTGGTGCCATATCAACGCTGATTTCTAATCATAAGTTTTAATAATAACTTTGGAGTTTCGTATCCAATCATCATTGAAACTGGAACCATTTTTGGTTGCTCAATCTTCAAGAATAATTTTAAAGTAATGAAACAGACAATGATCAAACTGGAAAAGAAGGAGAGGAAGAAGCGAGAACCCAACTGTGCTCTTTGCCAGAGCCATGGTATTAAGGTGTTGCTTAAAGGTATGCTTTTACTTTAACTATCGATCGTTTATCTGGCTCATACCTTTCTATCCTTCAGTTATCCGTTTGTTTACAGTCTCATGCATCAACTTACATGATGCTCATTTCAACT